TCATAGACAGTCCGTGAATGTTGTGGCACCGGTTCTTGGGTAGAGGCACATGTTGGCATTTTTACATTTATTTTGGTACTATATTAGTCTAAGTCTTCCGCTTGATTTCATTTTCCGCAATTATTTAATGTTAGTCGTCTGTTTATATTAGGTTGTTAAAAACGGATTAAAATGAATGAATTAAGATTTCTGAATTTCGTGGGTTGCCTAGCTTCTACGAGTAGGCGCCATCACGATCCCCGAGGGTGAGAAATCCGGATCGTGACAATAACAGGGGTACAAATTTCTTAAGAAAAATGACCAATACTATCAAAGCATATGTTATTATATCCGGCAATTACATCTTTTTCAGTATTAGTGAACAGTGAAGAGCATGAATTTTGAAGCCTACCGAAAACAAAAGTCAATAAAATACTAAGAAGCAAATACAGTACAGTTTTGACTAATTTGGGTTAAGTCGAGTGAATCATTTGACTGGCATTCTGGGACTAATAATATAACATTCCTTTAGCAGACACATGACTTTTTCAACCTAAAACAGCTGAGCAATTATTTTTAACAAAAATCACAAAGGAAATAAAATTAAAAAAATATTCCATTTTAATTGTTATCCATCATTTCAATTTGATGGAATATCATTGTGACTGCAGTTTCGTTTGACTAGTGGTACTCCATTGTACTGGTGGCATTATATTTTTTTATATTCGGTGTTCGGTTGAGGCCCGATTAATTCAAATTTATACTAGATTTTTTTATTTTAGAGATAAAACACTCTCTATCAAAGATATTTATCACTCCAGCACAACCTTTGATCGTAATAATAATATTATATCATTGTTCTCAAACGTCAAACTTAGGAAGCATTTAAGTTTAGATATTAATGAAAAAAGAAAATAGTAGCAGATGAATATATATAAGGAATATATCAGATAATATGAGAAATTATGTAAAAGAATTTTTACACGTTTAAATAATTTTTTTGGCATATCACGTACACATATGCGACAAATATCACATGAGATTGTCTCATGTAGGACAGATAAATTTTTATCACATTCATCTGACTGTAGAGAATTTCAAATAAAGGAAAATCAGAAATCAAAATCTAGTGACTAATGGATAAGTTTAATAGCAGTCGATGTGTACACCAGGTTTAGTTAGTTCAACTTCAACCTCGGAGTAGCATTAGACAGTCAATAATTAAGGAGTGTTTTATTTTAATATTTTAAAATTTTGTTATTCTTAATATTTTTACGAGGGATATGTATGTTTTTTTTTTTGGGCATAGAATTCATTTAACCCAGCAAATTATGAAATATTGGATCTACCATCATTGGTAGTAAAAATTAGAGTACTACTATATAAATTCACTTTTCATATATCACGCTTTATTTATGTATTTATTTATTGCAAATTACATTTTAAGTTTTATTTTACACTGACCACCTTCTATTCGCCAAATATCCCGCTTATTAGTTATACTACTTTAAAAAAAATTATCACCAGTCAAAATAGTACAACACAAACGTCAAAATATCAGATTACCAATGAAAAAAAATGAAAAAAACAAAATCAAATATGGCTGCCAACGATTGCAGTAATCTAAATTCCACCTTTTGGACCATTCCATAAAATATCAGCACAAAAGGTAAAAATTGCACGGGGGCGCCCCCATTTAATCTATACTTATTTTTTTTTAAAGTTTTAACTTGTACACACTTTTTAAAGAACTTCAGCCAACTTTTTCCTCCTTTTTCTCCTCCTTCGTTTTCTTAAGATATTTTCAGTACGATAACACAGGTTAGCATCTGGTCTTCATTGGGAGTTGGGACAACTAAATTTAAGTCCCAATAAATTGAAACTAACATAAGCTGCACGATTTCTTTTTATTTTTTCGCATTTTTGATGTAATCTTTTTTTCTTTGAATCAAATGAATTGATCTGTGGGGTTAAAGTAATAGTTTCACTTTATATCACTTAAACTTTATGATTATTAGATTTTATTTCCACTGAAGGCACCTTTTTCTAATGTAACTGATCTACTCCATAAAAACGTTCAGAAAGAAGAAGAAAAACGAAGATCCAATATAGTGATTGTATGGGTCAAAAAACTATATAAGCTTTTTAAAAAACTTTAGCTTATATAGTGCTGAAGTTTTTACAAATGAACTAAATAACTTTACCATCTTATGCTGAAGTTTTTGAAAAAGTTTATCAGGACAAAAAAATACTTTAGCTTATTAGTGCTGAAGTTTTTACAAATGAACTAAATAACTTCGGCATCTTCTGCTGAATTTTTTGAAAAAGCTTATTCAGATGCTGAAGTTTTTGAAAAAGCTTATCCAGGACAAAAAAAAATTCAGCTTATTTAGTGCTGAAGTTTTTACAAATGAACTAAATAACTTCAGCATCTTCTGCTGAAATTTTTGAAAAAACTTATCCAAGACAAAAAAACTTCAGCGTATTTAGTGCTGAAGTTTTTACAAATGAACTAAATAACTTCAGCATCACAAAACTCAGCTACTAGAATGCTTAAGTTCAGCAATTACAAATAAAAACTTCAGCAAATAGAGAATAAAACTTCAGCACTAGAATGCTTAAGCTCAGCTATTACAAACAAAAACTTCAGCACACTTGATTCAGCAATTTTTGCTACTTCAGGCCCGTCTACTAGAATGCTGAAGTTTTGCGTGATTGCCTTTGCTACTTCAGTCCTGTATGCTGAAGTTACGCGAAAAAGTGGGTACGCTTGCAATTTTTTTGCAAAGCGGGTACAAGTTAAAACGTGACCCAAAAAGCAGGTATAGATGCAAATGCCCCACACAAAAGGCATATAAATCCACACTATAGTTTGACACGTTATAATAGGTATTCTGTCTTATTGCTTAGATTATTAATATATTTTATAATAATTACTTACTTATGTTTAGTGATTTGATAGAATAATAAATATTTACATGATTAAGGAGTCAATTACTCAAATGGTCACTCAACTATCCTAAATTATCTCCTAAAGTCACTTTTTTTTGTTTGTAACAACAAAGTCACTGAACTATGCCTATTGCACTCAAAAGGTCACTCAACTAGATTTTTCAAATTTTGTTTGTCAAATACCTATTTTACCCTCTAAATTATAAATATTTATCTCCTTTTTATTTTTTTAAACTTTTTAATATTATAATTTCCCCTTTTTAATTTATGTTTGGACTTACCTATATAATAAATAAATATTATTATAAATTACAAAAAATAAAAAGTATTTAAGCATCTATAATGCTAGAATAACAAATTAATGAGCATAGTAAAAAAATTAATTAGAATAATTTGTTCGTAATAATAATTTTAGTATTAAAAACATAAATTCAAAAATTTATTTTCACAATTCAGAATGAAAGAAAATAAAGGTTGTAAAATATATATGTCATGCACGCAATATAAGAATAATTATTTAAATAAAGGTATTTTTATAATATACATTATATATTCTTGAAAATTATGCTCAATTATATTATATATATACCATGCATGACTTAACATATCATATTTTACCATATACAGATAGTCGCCTTGCTTTTCGGTGACATAATTTTGTGTCGTCGAAAAGTTGATAGAAACATAATAATATTATTGAGCATAAATTTCAAGAATATATAATATATATTATAAAAATACCTTTATTTAAATAATTATTCTTATATTAAGTGCATGAAATATATATTTTACAACCTTTATTTTCTTTCATTCTGAATTGTGTAAATAAATTTTTGAATTATTGTTGTTAAGACTAAAATTATTATTACGAACAAATTATTCTAATTAATTTTTTTTACTATGCTCATTATTTTGTTATTAGCATTATAGATGCTCAAAAACTTTTTATTTTTTATTTATAAATAATATTTATTTATTCTATAGGTAACCTCATAATATAAATTAAAAAGGGGGAAGTCATAATATTAAAAGTTTAAAAAAACTAAAAGGAAGATAATTTAGAGGGTAAATAGGTATTTGACAATCCAAAATTCGAAAAATCTAGTTGAGTGACCTTCCGAGTGCAATAGACATAGTTTAGTGACTTTGTTGTTACAAACGAAACAAAAGTGACTTTAGGAGATAATTTTGGGATAGTTGAGGACCATTTGAGTAATGGACTCCATGATTAGGCATAGAAGCTAAACTCTTGGATTGTTTGATTAAAAATTAGGATACCCCAGAATTATAATCATGAAACTAGGAATATAACCTGAATATACCAAGATTTTGGTATAAAAATGATATCGATTTTAGCTAATTCCTCTAAGCAAAATGGGAATAAATTTAGTTTCAAATTTTTTTATTGGAATAAACCATCTTAGTTCCTTGAACTAAAACGGCCTTTGAGCAAAACAAAGTTATCTCAAGATTATAATCTTAGAGTTATAATACCAAATTTTAGTATGAATTTTTTACTCATATTAGCTAATATCAATAACCAAATGTTGAATAAATAAAATTTTAAATTTAATACCAGAATTAGTGTCCTAATTCAGATTAACAAATGAACCCTAAAAAAAATATAAGTACATACTCCCTCCGTTCACTTTTACTCGGCGTGTATATTAAAAATAGATTTTCATTTTTACTTGTCAGTTTATATCAAGAGAAGAAAAAAAATCATGTTATACCCACAGTATTTATTACTCATTTCAAATTATTTTCTAAAATCCAAAAAAATATACATCAATTAAGATGAGTATCATGATAAATTATACACTTCATTTTATTATTTCTTAAGGATTGTGAAAAGCCGACCAAAATGGAAGGGAGAAAGTAACTTATTTTGTACCTAAGGGTGGCTAAAGCCAACAATAAGCCTAACTTGTTTTACCGGTTGGTTGGTCCACATAGGTGGGCAGGTACTTTGCCTGTGCCACTGTCCATAAGCTTACAACCAACTACTTCCCGCTAACAAATGATCTTTTTTTTCTACATTTCTTTTTTAAAATTTAATTTTTTTTCTTAATGTTCCAATTTTTCCCATATTTTAATAGCAACTGTTGAACTATAAATAGAGGCACTAGAGTTCCCCAAGATTGTCAGTGTGTGTCTTACAACTTTGTCTCATACATTCAGCTCAAGATTCATTGAATCAGTTTTTTCTGTGCCTCTTTTTTAACGGTAAAGATCTCAATTTTCTTGCATTTTTGCCATTATCATTGATCTGTGAATGAGATTCTTGATGATTCAATCTGGGTTTTTGGATCTGTTTACGGGTTTTAATTTTCTTCTTGTTTTTTTATGAAAACAGGTTAAAAAAATGGCCCGCAAGAAGATCAGAGAGTATGATTCAAAGAGATTGTTGAAAGAGCATTTTAAGAGACTTGGAGGTTATGATTTGGCCATTAAGTCTGCACAGGTTAGTTCAAAATATTTTTGTTAATTCTTGAATTTGGAGTAAATCTTTAGTGTTTAGATTAATTTGGATGATTCTTGATTTCAAATCTTTGAAATGTTAAGATAAAATGGGAAAGAATGCTATTTTTTTTGTTTGGATTAAGATTTGGCCACCAGAATTGCTTTTGCTTCATAGCAAAATGTAGGAAAGATTTAGGTAGCATTTGTATAAAAATTAGGCCACCTACTTGAATCCACATGCAAGCTACAATAAGGGTGCAGAATTTGAATCTCATTGAGAATGTGTATGGTCCCTTTTTTATCCTTAGTTTGCTGTTATCGCATTTCTTGTTCTGTTATTACTTGTCATCAGTACTTCCGTAGTTTGCTAGGTTGCTAGCAGTACCTCGTTCATATTCTCGTTTGCTACTTGGATTTAGTTTTCTAAATATATTCTCTTGCTATTATTTGCTATCGGTACCTCTTTCATATTCTCTGTTGCTATCTTCGATTTAGTTTTCTAATTATATTGTCTTGCTATTACTTACTATCAAGACTTCTTTCATCTTCTATAGCCGAGGGTCTATCGGAAATCTCTGCCCTTCCGGGGTAGGGGTAAGGCTGCGTACATCCTACCCTCCCTAGACCCCACTTGTGCGATTACACTGGGTTGTTGTTGTTGTCGTTGAGAATGCGTGATTCACTTTTCCTTTCATTTTCTTCTTGTGTCATTTCCAGTAGTGGTGGCAAAGTCTAATTTTAAGCAAAATTGGTCCAGATACTACATTTGAGGATCCAGATTTTGACTCTGATTAAATTTGAGTTAAATGATGGTCCTAATTTTTTCCAGTAGGGTAGAATAGGTAGGTTAGGTGCAATGCTTAAGCTTAAAGAGAGTGCCTAATATTTTTTAAATTACAAGTTTAAAATTTTGGGGACCTCCTAATCTGAGAGCAGCCACTTGATAATCCTAACATTCTTTAGTCTCAAGTTAATAATTGACTAAGTAACTAATAACTGAAGAGAACAAGAAAATCAATCTTTCCTAACTATTTAATTCTATGGCACTGTTAGTTCCGAAAGTCTTTGAAAGTGAAATCTGCCTAACAAACAGTGCCCTTGGTAATTGGAACCGATGAGTGTATTCTGAGTCCTATGTTGCTCAGATTTGGAGGATCTGACACACACCCAACGGCATGTTTGAAGGATCCGAGCAACACAGATTCTGACTATTTAATTCAGAGACTGAGTTGTATATTAATTTTCTATGAGTGTGGTGGGAGTCCAGGGAGGAAAGCCAAAAGCTTTTCCTTTTCTCTTGGAGGGAGACTGGAAATACCAAATTTCATGTTTCTTGTGAAAATTATGAACGGTATAGTTGACTAGTTTTATGAGCTTTATTAGCAGGATTCAGATATGATGGTTTTTGTCCTTTTCTATGGCTTAGGTGACAGAGTCTACTGATTTCACTGAGCTAGCCGAGAAAGAGCCTTGGCTCAACTCGTCAAAGTTGGTCGTAAAGCCTGATATGTTATTTGGGAAGCGTGGAAAGAGTGGGCTAGTCGCCTTGAATCTTGATCTTGCTCAAGTTGCTACTTTTGTGAAGGAGCGCCTCGGCAAAGAGGTAATTCAGATATTCGCTGACCTTGTCTCTTTTGTCAAAAGAACCAAGTGTAATGCTTTATATGTACTATTAGCATATAGATGTACTACTCTCGGATCATTTGCTCACATTTAGTTTTACATTAACAGGTGGAGATGGGCGGATGCAAAGGTCCCATTGCAACCTTCATTGTCGAGCCATTCATCCCCCACAATGAAGAGTTTTATCTTAATATTGTCTCGGACAGGCTTGGTTGCAGCGTAAGCTTTTCTGAATGTGGAGGAATTGACATTGAAGAAAACTGGGACAAGGTATGTGAAAAGCTCCTGTATTGTTACAAGTTAACAGTACGTTTGTTAAGTCCAAAGCCCTTTTCATGCATATCTCAATCTAACATATAATCCTTTTATCCAGGTTAAGACTATTTTCTTACCCACAGGGACTTCCTTTACTTCGGAAATATGTGCTCCACTTGTCGCGACACTACCATTGGAGGTAAAAAGAAGAAAATCAGTACTGCTAGAATACTCTGTCCATTTATTTTAATAATTAATCCAATTTAAATCTCAAATTTGATCTCGAAATTACTTGTATGTTACAGATTAAGGGCGTCATTGAGGATTTCCTCAAAGTGGTTTACACTCTATTTCAAGGTATCTACAAAAAACTTTGGCATTGCTAGCTCTTCACATTTTTTTGGATTTTTGTGTAATCCTCTCGACATGTTTTTTTTATATCAGATTTGGACTTTACTTTCCTAGAGATGAATCCCTTCGCATTGGTTGAAGGGAAGCCTTATCCTCTGGATATGAGGGGTGAGCTTGATGACACTGCTGCTTTCAAGAACTTCAAAAAGTAATTTTCTATCTTCATCCACTGATACACTCATTCTACTCTACCATAATTTTAACGGCTAAAAGTTAGTCAAATTTCAGTATTTCACATATCTTGGACTAAGAATATACCTTCTGTCCCACAGGTGGGGAAATATTGAATTTCCATTGCCATTTGGAAGGGTTATGAGTGCTACAGAGAGCTTTATTCATGGGCTTGATGAAAAGGTATATCTTTATGGTATTGTATAGCTTAATAGAGTTATTGAGAAATAGAAAAGTCCCAACTGTCAGCCTCCAACTCCCATTCTTTGGCTGGTGTAATGGGGAAGGAAAAAAATGAAATAAAGAGATTGCATGCCAAAGATCAAAAAATTAACAAACTTCTGGTGGTTATGCATTTCAAAAAATTAAAATAAAAAACAAAACAAAAATTGTTTCGTACATGTTCTTGAAATGGAAATATTGAGGACTATGAGAGTTGCGAGGCAAAATTATTCTCCAGCTTTAGATTGCAAAATATCTGTAACTACATTACATGCTAAAGCGTTCAAGTCGGTCTATCGCAGACAAGTGCATCTTTGAAGTTCACAGTCTTGAACCCCAAGGGGCGAATTTGGACTATGGTTGCTGGTGGAGGAGCTAGTGTCATCTATGCAGATACCGTACAACATTTCTATCCTTGGGAAATTTTATACCATCAGATCTTCTTTGATTATCTAGTCTCTTGTCTAAACATGCTATGTTACGTTAACAGGTAGGCGATCTTGGATATGCTTCTGAACTTGGGAACTACGCAGAATACAGTGGTGCTCCCAATGAAGAAGAGGTCTTGCAGTATGCCAGAGTTGTAATTGATGTAAGGATAAACTAGTTACATAAATTATATTTCTGACACAACTAATATTTTACAAAAAAATCCTTTATGAGTTTACATTATGCCACATTTTCCGTTTTTATGCACCCTGAAAGGAAAATTTTACCTTATTGGGAGAAAGACACTGAAATCTCATATTACAGTGTGCCACTGCAAATCCTGATGGCCGTAAGAGAGCCCTCGTTATTGGCGGTGGGATAGCCAACTTCACTGATGTTGCTGCTACATTTAGTGGTATTATTCGAGCTCTCAAGGAGAAGGTACGTATGATAACACAACTGGCTGTTCTTAAATGACTTGCTCTGATATTGAGGTTTCCTTACTCAACATTTTTTATGACAGGAATCAAAACTTAAGGCTGCAAGAATGCAAATCTATGTTAGAAGAGGAGGTCCAAACTACCAAAAAGGTCTTGCTAAAATGAGGTCTCTTGGCGAGGAAATTGGCATCCCAATTGAGGTATGAATCCTGCTAGCATCAAACGATTATTATGCTGTTACTTACCGATTGTTGTTAACTTTTGCTTGCTCCAATTTTTGTTGCAGGTCTATGGACCTGAGGCAACCATGACTGGCATATGCAAACAGGCAATTGAGTGCATCACTGCAGCTGCATAAATCAACCAACCTCATTCTCCAAGCTGAACTGTTTTAGTTGTCTTTTTTTTTTTTTTTTGCAATGTATTAGTAGTGTCTTGTTGTATGCCACATATAAGTAATTTGATTTGTATCTTTGACATGTCAAATTTAAAGGGCCATGAACAATGATCTCCAGTAATGAATTCAGTTTTCCAATCTCAACATGAAGTCCATCAAAATCCTTGGTTCAAGAATCCTTGTACTACATCTTGTGAGCAGAGTGCACTGAACTTCTATCCTTCTTTAATTAGAAAGGAAACATCTCAATGTTATACTATTGCCTTAACGTTTTGTTTGGATGATTAGATTCTTTCACATAGTATCAGAGTCAAACTTTATTAAGCTCGTTTTATAATACTACGTGGAGTTGCTTTGGACTTCTTTCTCTCTTAAGTCATCCCATCAAGCTACTTAAATTGCTCCAGTCTATGTTGCTCTGACTCTCCGAAAATGTTGCCGGGTGCGTGTCAGATCCTCCAAAAATATACCAGGCCCACTAATTAGCTTATTGTGCTTAATATGATCCCTTTATTCATGCCTCAAAAAAGAAAAGAAAAAAAAGAATTATCAGTCCATAAAAGGACAAAAGAATAAGAAAAATAAAAAGAAAAAAGTTCATCCGTAAACAAAAAAGGACAAAATAATACTCTCTCCGTTTCAATTTATGTCTTAACTTTTCCTATTAGTCTATTTAAAAAATAATGCCTCTTTCTATTTTTGATAACTCCTTAATTCCAACTTTCCACATGGTATATTTAAGACCACAAGATGCAAGGAAATTTTGGCACATTATAACATCTTTAGTTTGAGCATAAGATTTAAAAGTGTTTCTTACTTTCTTAAACTTTATGCCCAGTCAAATTAAAATACATAAATTAAGACGGAGGAAGTAATAATTTAGATCGATCCATGGTTACACGTGTAGCATAGTGTTAGAGATTACACTAGTACCGGCAATATATAACTTCCCAAGGGATACTTACGCATTGACGAAACCAAGTCGTTAATCTCTTAAATTGTCGTGATGAGATCTCCACCATTGATCAAGTCCAGATCAATGGCTCTCCACCTCTTACTTTTCCCACAATAATATCACGGCCCAAAATCACTATCGTTGTGACGGCGCCTAACCCACTTGCTAAATAAGCAAAAAAATAGACAACAATGAAACATAATAAATAAATTACAGAATAAACAAATTTGAAGCCAAATAACCATAAATAGAAATCGAGACAGTACATAAATCCCCGGAAACTAGTAATATTGAGTCATGAGAATACAATAATGAAATGATAGAAGGAGACGCCACAGACTGCGATCATGATGCAGTTGTACCTCGGGTCTCCATAGCAGCAGCTACAGTCTCCAAAAGCTTAGCTGGGTCCAACTCTCGGATCTACATAATTAAGTGCAGAATCTAGTATGAGTACAATCGACCTCACGTACTCCGTAAATATCATGACTAACCTCGATAAGATAGTGGTGAGAGTGGTCAATGATGCTCTCTAATCAAACCTATACCGTTATAAACATATATATTCTTATATGTATACAACAATAGTATCAAAAGCTAGAGGTAGGTACATGTAAGGCCAACAGTGCTTATAGAAAAGATATACATATGTAACAAGTCAAGACGCACAATTCAACATATAGAGAAGATATGTACTGTGTTGCAATCCACCAAGTAAACCAATATATAGAGAAGATATGCAAAAATGCAAAACACTTATCACTTTTCATAATCCACGTGAGGGCGATCCTACGGGGATGGATCCTTATTCACACGTTGCACGGCCAATTCACGTGTCAGAATAATAACAATCGCGTGGACAACTCACGCGCTGCACGGACAACTCAAGCACCAACAATCGTAACAACTCCACGTGCTGCACAAACAACTCACGTGTTATAACATAATCACTGCACTGACAACTCATGTGCTGCCAAATCAATCTATATCGCAGAATACATATATATATATATATATAATTGTATGTATATGGACATGGATATCAAATCACACACTCCGAAAATGTAATAGATAGCATGCTAAAGTGTATGCATGTGTGAAGCGTACAATTATGGCTCAGATCCAGGCGGATACAAAAAACAATAACAAGTATTGTGCTCAAATAGAGAATCAATGCCTACACATGTCTCTACCCTGATTGAGAAACTCACGTAGTCATACAAATGATCAAAACATGACTTATAGGAAGTACATAGTCAAAATAAGGAATAATATAAGGCTAAGTCTAATACGGTCTAAATCATACCTAGCACCCGTATATACACTCGTCACCTCACATATACGTCGCTTTTACATTCCAGATAGCCAAATAAAGTCATATCCTAAGTGTATTCCCTCATACAAGATTAGGCAAGATACTTACCTCAAACGGAAAAAATCAATACTCTAAGAAAAAATAACTTAATAACATCAAACAAAGCCATTTGGAATCAGCTCCAAAAAATAAAGCTTCAATTTTTATTCAATTTTCAAAAAGTCAACAATAGTCAAGTCGGGCCCACATGGTCAAAATCACAGAAAAGATATAGATCTCTACTACTCATAACACCGCGAGTCTAAATATATATTTAGATTAACCAAATGCAAATCAACCCTCAACGCCTTAATTTTCACTCTCTTAAGTTGCAAAAAAAAATCCTAATTTTTTTCTCCAAATTCCATATTTTAAGTATTAATAATCCATGTAGATTCTTGAAATAACACCAAAAATGAGACCAAAGTATTGTATGAAAATCTCCAAGTAAAATCACTCCTCTCCAAGTCTGGGGTTCAAAATGTGAGAGAAGTGACTAAAATTCCTAAATACAACACTTAAATGTTCTGCCAAGGGGTACCCTTCGCGAACGCGCCATATGTCTCGCGTTCGCAAAGCACAAGAAGCTTCTGCCTAAAAAAAGCCCTTCGGGTTTGCGGACCTACCTCGTGAATTTGAAATACAGTGTGCCTTCCAAACCCCATCCAATCATACCTACAAGTCCATAAACACTATCCGAACCTATCTAAAGCCTCCAAATACATATAATAACATCACATTAACACATCAAAGATCAAAATACAAGTTGAACTTTTCTTATGTTCAAGAACTTTCAAACTTCCAACCAAGCGTCTGATTCAAGCCCAACCAATCCAGATTACATCCAAACATTGCACAAAAGTTTCAAATGATAAAACGAACCTATTTCAAGTTTTGGAACAACCATCCAAATCTGATACTTCCGGTTAAACTTAGGAACTCTCCGAACCTTCAAATTGCCAACTTCGACAAATACAGCTAAAACATCCTAGGAACCTCCAAATTCAAATCCGAATATATGCCTAAGTCCAAAATCACCATACGAACCTATTGGAACCATCGAATTATTAATCTGAGGTCCTTTATATAAAAGTCAAACCTTGATCAACTTTTTACAACTTAAGTTTCCAACAATAGAATTAAGTGTTCCAATTCACTCCCAAATCTCCACGGAACCAAGCCAATCATCCCTGCAAGTCACAAAATAATAAACAAGCATACAAAAAATTTTAAATAGGGAAACGAGGCTCAAATGCATAAAACGACCGACTGGGTCATTAATTCTCCCCTTCTTAAACAAACGTTCATCCTCGAACACGTTTAGAATTAATTATAACTAAAATGCCAAAAAGTTTAGGGTATCTACTCCGTATATAATGCTCGGTCTCTCAAGTTTTATCCTTGACATGTTGACCTCTCCACTAAACCATCATCGATATAATATCTTTAGACCTCAACTTCCGAACCTGCCTATCCAAAATGACCACCGACTCTTCCTCATAAGCCAAATTCTCATCCAACTGCACCGAGATAAAGTCCAACACATGTGACTGATCTTTATGATACTTCTGAATCATGAGAATATAAAACACCAGATGAACTCCCAGCAAGCTAGGTGGCATATACAGTTTGTAAGCCACCTCATCAACTCTCTCCAAGATGTCAAACTGGCCAATATACTGAGGAGTCAACTTTCCCTTCTTCAAAAATCTCATCATGCCTTTCATAGGCGAAACTCTATGAAGAAACTTATCACCCTCCATGAAAGCCACATTATGAACCTTCCTATCAAGATAACTCTTCTGCCTGGACGACACTGCACGAAGTCACTCCTGAATCAAATTTACCTTCTCCCAAGCATCTAGAACCAAATCTCTGCCCAATAATCTTGTCTCACCAGGCTCAAACCAACCAGCCGAAGATCGACACCACCTCCCATATAATGCCTCATACGGAGCCATCTGAATACTATATTGGTAGATGTTATTGTAAGCAAACCTCGTTAAGGGTAGATTCTGGTCTCACTGGCCTCCGAAATTAATAACACATACTCTTAACATCCGCTCAGACTGCCCATCCATCTGAGGATGAAATGCAGCATTGCTCCAAAAATGAAAAGTAAACTGAGTGTCGTGATCTGAGATGATAGAGGCAGGTACAACATGAAAGCAAACAATATCTCTGATGTAGATCTTAGCCAATTTTTCTAAAGTGTAGAAAGTCATAACCAGAATGAAATGTGTCGACTTGGTCAACTGATCAACAATGACCCAAATGGTATCAAACTTCCTCAAAGTCCATGGCAACCCTACCACAAAGTCTATAGTAATGTGCTCCCACTTCCACTACGGTATATCAATCTTCTGAAGTAAACCACTCGGTTTCTGATGCTCATACTTGACTTGTTGATAGTTCAAACACTGTAAAACATGCCTAATAATGTCCTTCTTCATCTTTCTCCACCAATAATGTTGCTTCAAATCACGATACATCTTCGTAGCACCTGGATGAATAGAATACCGTAAACTGTGAGCCTCCTCAAGAATCAACTCTCTCAAGCCATCAATATTAGGAACACAAATCCGACCCTGAAGTCGCAATAAACCATCATCACCAATAGTGACCTCCTTAGCACCACCTCGATGCACCGTGTCCTTAAGGACAAGCCAATAGAAATCATCATACTGCCGAGTCTTAATGCACTCAAATAAGGATGACTATGAAACAACAAAATCAAGGACTCTGCTTGGCTAAAAAATATCCAGTCTCATCAATCTATTGGCCAACGCATAAACATCCATAGCTAAAGGCCTCTCCCATATGGAATAAATGCCAAACTCCCCACACTCTCCACCTTCCTACTCAGGGCGTCTGCTACCACATGAGACTTTCTCAGATGATACAAAATAGTGATATCATAATCGTTCCACAACTCCAAAAATCTCGGTTACCTCAAATTCAGATCCTTCTGTTTAAATAAATGTCGATGAGTCCTGTGATCATCGTAAACCTCAAAAGACACGCTACATAAATAATGCCTCAAAATCTTGAGCATGTGCACAATAGTTGCTAACTCCAAGTCATGGACTGAATAGTTTTTCTCATGGGGTTTCAACTGGCGCAAAGCATAAGCAATCACCCTACTATCCCGCATCAACACAACCAAGGACAATTCACGAAGCATCACAATAGATAGTATATCCCCGATCCTGAGGGCAATACCAAAACTGGAGTTGTAGTCAAAACAGTCTTGAGATTCTGAAAGCTCTTCTCACACTCGTCAGATCATCTGAATGGAGCGCCCTTCTATGTCAACTTGGTCAATAGAGCTGCAATAGATGAGAACTTCTCCACAAAGCGAAGATAGTACCCGGCAAAACCTAAAAACCTTCTAATCTTAGTAGTTGTAGAAAGTATGGGCCAACTCTAAATTGCCTCAATCTTCTTCGGATCCACCTTGATCCCATCACTAGATACCACGTGGTCCATGAATGCCACTGAATCCAACCAAAACTCACACTTAGAGAACTTAGCATACAACTTCCTTTCCCTTATAATATAAAGCACAATCCTCAATGTTGCTCGTGCTCCTCCCTACTATGGGAATATGCCAAGATATCATTAATGAATACAATAACAAATGAATCCAAATAAGGCTGAAACACATTATTCATCAAGTGCTTGAAAGTTTTTGGGGATTTAGTCTAACCAAAAGACATCACCAAAAACTCATAATGCCCATAATGAGTCCTGAAAGTTGTCTTATAAAAGAATGAAGTCATGATCTTCAACTAATGATAACCTAATCTCAAGTCAATCTTTGAGAACATCCTAAAACCATGAAGCTAACCAAAAAATAATCGATGCGAGGTAGTGGATACTTATTATAAATGGTAAGCTTGTTCAGTTGCATGTAATTAATACATATTCTCATTGAACCATCCTTCTTCTTCACAAATAATACCGGTGCACCCCCAAGAAAAACACTCGGCCTGATAAACCCCTTACCCAACAACTCTTGCAACTGCTCCTTCAACTTCTTCAACTCAGCTGGAGCCATGTAATACGGTGGAATAGATATGGGCTGAGTGTCCAACACCAAATTAATACCAAGATAAATATCCCTATCAGGTGGCATGCCCAGTAGGTCTACATAGAACACATTTAGAGACTCCCTCACTACTGGAACTTACTCAACAGTAGGAACATTGGCACACCCATTCTCAACTACTCGTTGAGCCAGAATGCCATCGAATCTAACCAACACTCGTACTTAGAAAATTTAGCACATAGCTTCTTCTCCCTCAAAGTCTGGAGCACGATCCTCAAATGTTGCTCATGATCCTCCCCATTGCGAGAATACACTAATATGTCATTAATAAACACAATAATAAAGGAATACAGATAGGGCTGAAACTCGTTGTTCATCAAGTGCATGAAAGCTACTTGGGCATTGGTCATCCCAAAGGACATCACCGAGAACTCATAATGGCCATAATTGGTCCTGAAAGCCGTCATAGGAATATCTGAAGCCATGATCTTCAACTGATGGTACCCCGATCTCAAGTCAATCTTTGAGAATACCCTAGCACCCTGAAGGATATCAAATAAATCATCAATACGTGGTAGTGGGTACTTGATCTTGATAGTAACCTTGTTCAACTACCTGTAGTCAATGCACATCCTCATAGAACTATCTTTCTTCTTTAAAAATAGTACCGGTGTACTCCAAGGTGATACACTAGGCCTGATGAAACCCTTATCAAGAAAGTTTCTCCTTCAATTCCTTCAACTCTGCTGGTGTCATGTGATATGGTGGAATAGAGATGGGCTGAATGCCCAGCACCAAATTAATACCAAAATCAATATCCTTGTCAGGTAGTATACCTAGTAGGTTTGCAAGAAATACATCTGAGAACTCCCTCAATAGTAGGAGTATCAGCACTAACATCCTTCAAAGGCCAAATACGCCAAACACCCCTTCTCAACCATCCGTCGAGTCTTCAAGTATGAAATCACTCTACTAGTATTGTGACCAAGTGAACCTCTCCACTCCAACCTAGGCTACCCCAACATCGCCAATGGAACGGTCATAGCATGATAATTGTGAATAGCATGGTATGGAGATAGACAATTCATACCTAAAATCACCTCAAAATCAACAATGCTGAGCAATAAAATATCAACTCTAGTCTCATAACCCCCAATGGTAACAACACAAGACTGACATACACGATCTACCATAATAGAATCACACATCGGTATAGATACATGAACATGCATATCTAAAGAATCACGAGGCATATCTATATAACGAGCAAAATAGGATGACACATAAGAATAAGTGGAACCAGGGTCAAATAACACTGAAGCATCTTTGTGGCACACTGAAACAATACATGTGATCACGGCATCAGAAGCAACTTCCTCTAGCCTGGTGGGAAATGCATAACAATTGACCTATCCACCACCTGACAGACCTCCCCCTCTAGGGCAACTTCATCCAGTATGACCTCCACCCGGAGCTAGCTGAGCGGGTGGTGTAGAAACTGGTGCAGGAGTCATAGTTTGGCCCCCCTGCTACACTGGACCTCTGCAAAAATAGGGCAATACTTCCTAACATGCCCCCAACTCCCCAAATTTGTAGCATCCATGAATTAGGAATGACTGTTGGGCCTGAGTTGGACCCCGTTAACCAGAATAGACACTGAAAGAGCCCGATACTAACGATCCTGAATCGATGGAGTGTGATAAGAGCGCTGAGCTGGGAGTGCACTGAACAAAGACTATACTAAAGATCATCGATTGGGTGGTGATGATAAGTGTGGATTTTAACCACTTATTAGTACCTTCTTGCTTTAGTTATTAGTCCATAAATAGTGATTTTACTTTCTGAATCTAATGAAAATGTGTGAATTGCAGGCTTGTTGGAGGATTCAAGCTCAATGAAGAATCTAACTCAAAAAGGAGTGTTCTAGCTCAACAATTCAAAGAGGAGCAAATGCAAAGGATTGTGCAGTCCGCAGAACATATTCTGCGGCCGCAGATGAAGATGTGGGCCGCAAAATTGCAAGTACGGCCGCATACTTAACCTTGAAGCCTTAGAGGAACTTAGCAGAAGCGCGGTCTGGACACCAGATATATGCTGCCACCAAAGTATCTCGCACTAACAAGCTTGGGAAGTTCAGAGAAGCTACAAAGGATCAAGTGTGAAGCCTCCTTCGAATGCGGTTCGCAGCCTAAATGTGCGGCCACAATAGTTGACGTTCGACCGCAGAACATATTTTGCAGCCGCACAATCCCTCCCATTGCAATATCAAAAGAAGAAAGTGCGGTCCTCACACCAAATTGTGTGGCCGCCTTTTGTCACGACCCAAATCGATTGGCCGCGACGGGAACCCGGTTCCTTACTCAACCGAGTACCAACGTAACGTATCTTTCTTATTACATCATCATATACACATGACATACGGGCCTAATAGGCCAACATGATCCTTTATAAACTCAAAACATAGGCCGACAAGGCCGTACAATCTTTTACGTACACGACATATGTCTACAAGCCTCTAAGAATACATAAAATCATAAAGGTTGGGGCAGGGCCCCGCCATACCAATCAATACATATCCAAAGCATACTGACCAAATAGGCAACTCCGGAGCAAGTGGAGTGCGCCAACACCTTCGCTGAGTTGATAGCCTAATAGGAGGACTGTCAACCTATCAATCGGGACCTGCGGGCATGAAACGCAGCGTCCCCAGGCAAAAGGGACGTCAGTACGAATAAAGTACTGAGTATGTAAGGCAGGAAAGCATACATAAGAACAGTAATGTAAAGAGAGATAGGGGAGCTACAACCTGTAACATCTGAGTGCCTCTAGGGACTACTGACATGAAATGCATAATACATACATATACATAATCTTTTAAAAACATTCGCCTCTGTAGGCATCATCATCATCATATCGTACCCGGCCTCAAAGCTCGGTAAAAACATACCCGGCCATCTTAAGGCTCGGTAGAATCATACCCGGCCACGTGAAGCTCGGTAAACCCAACTGATCAGTGGTTGCACAATAGGTGTCGTACCCGGCCGACTATAGCGCGGCTCGGTAGAGTAAAATAGATACATATATATAATGCATGCTCGACTCATGGAATCACGTTCTAAACCTTTCAGAGTGACGTAAGGTCGTTGCACCTTCGATTAACATTATGGACATCATACCATCAATATGAACTTCACTAGAACTCAAGGATCATACATACTTTCTTAGAATAAATTTGTACGGAAAGAACAACATGGACAATCTTAGTTGCTAGGAGTAGATTCATTATGAATTAGTGTATTCATTTCACATTAGATCATGCCAACAGAAAGAAGGAAGTGTCTTAACATACCTGTTCCTTGAATTGTTTGAACGAATCTGCTTTCGCAAAAATATGGTCGCAATTCTGCTTGAATCTCTTAAAATTTTGAAACGAAATTTGGTGACTTCTTCCGAAATTTCAATAGAAATTTTTGAATTGTTGGAGGAAATGATTCTGCATTTCACGTTTTGTTGGTTTTGAATTTTTGGAAGAAATTTGGATTTTTCACGTTTTTCTGAAAGGCAAAAGGTCTTTGAAACCTATCCAGGAGTTAGACCAAGTGACTTCCTATTCATTTGTCCAAAATGAATTCAATACTTCAAGTCTTTCCTTTAAAAAAATGACTTATCTTCATGAGTCATAAATGACTTTACACGTTGGTATCATACTAAGAAGATATGACTCTTAGTCATATGCTTAAATGCTGGTGTACTGCCACGTTTCTTTTTGGATATAATTAATTAAGTTTTATTCACTTATTGGTTAATCGGGTAATGTTCTGGTACTAGGTAATTAATCAATTACCCGCATAATTGAGAATTATTCCCACTTACTTAAAATATTACTCACTTTTAACATACCTTGTACACCTTACTATCATGGCCATGTAATACCTTGTATGGCACTAGTCCATAAATATCGGGTATTTTAGCTCGGGCCGTATTTTATCCCAAAATTCCAAACTTTGACAAAATTCGTTTTCTTAGACTTGCTCCCCCTTTCACCTTCATGAATTTACTAATCACTTGTGAAATAGCATAATCCCCAAATAATCTTTTCCTTGGACTGATGTCAATTACCTTACGACAAATTCAACGTACAATACTACAGGGTGCAACATTGTCGTAATGAAATACCGCAGGATGTAATATCGATGTAATATTGCAGGGCGTAACACCGCAGAACCTCCCGAAGGGCATTTTTATCAGTAAATTTTTGGACACTAGAAATAGACGAGAAAAACGTTTTAGGGAAACTTTTATATTTGTAGTCTGTTGTAGCGTTTAGAGTATATCATTTTGGGAAATTGGTGATCAAAATTTGAGAAGACCCACTACTTTTATCTTTTAATTTTAGTTTTATGTCTTCAATTACTTCTACTCTTTCATTTTCTTGAGTAATTAGATTTTATCTAGGGTTGTGACCCAACCCTAGTGTGTAAAATTTATGAGTTATTAATATTAATGTTTGTTAATGATTGGGTGCTCATTATTTAGCCTTGTTTATGCTTTATATCTAGAACTAATGGTTGCAAATATTGGTTCATGCCTATTTGACTTAAGAGGAACCTAGTCTAGAAAAACTTGGCTAACAAAAAATTGGGCTAGAGGTTTTGACTAGTTTGATTTAAGGATTTGAACTATAAATAGGGTTAATCCCACTTGGACTCAATCAATTGCTTCGAATGCTACCTATTTGGTCTTGAGAAAGCCAATTTTGGTATAATCACTCTTTGACTAAGAGTTATTGAGTGGGTACTTGATAATTGAGAGGCATAACACACCCCAATCTACCAATCAAGCATTAATTTACTATACCCATTAAGTTTACACCTAGGTGAAGGTTAAATCTCTAGGCTTTTTCCTTAATTGATTAAAACACCACAAACATTTCATTTTCTAGTTGCTATTATTTAGTTTAATTTCTTAGCTATCAACTTAGATAACAATTACCCACAGTTGTTTAAAAGTCTAATTTAACAATTTCATGTTCTCTTCTTGAGTATTTTTCTTAGCATCGATCTAAACTCCCTGTGGAATTCGACCCCGACTCGCGTTGTCTTTTATAATTGCAACAATCGTTTCATACTTGTTATTTGAGTGTAAATTGGACGTGATCAATTTTTTGCGCCATTGCCAAGAAGTTTTACGATGTTAGCTATATACTTGAGTTTGTTTCTTAAAATATCTTCTTTACTTTCGTGTTTCTGAATTGTTAAAGTGATTGTAGGTTTCAAATAGCGAACAACAAACGTGGAAACATGCCATTGGGAGAGGTGAATGGCGATGAGGAGCAACTTGATGAAATGCCTCAAGCTCCACAACAAAATTACAGAGGCCGTACTCAACAAGACAAGGTGCCTCCACCTCCCTCACCTCCACCACCACCATAACCATAAGCGGCGCAACATTAGATTTTTCCCAATGAAGGTTATGCAAGTGTCATAGTCCCCTCTCGCATTAGGGAGGAAAACATTCAAATTACCAATGTGATGCTTACTTTGCTCAACGAGGTTATTTCACCGGATCGCCGAATTAAAATTCTTACAAGCATTTGAAAGGTTTTGTGGATACGCATTAGGGGAGCAAACCAACAAATATTCAGGAAGATATTTTGAGGCTAAGGCTTTTTCCCTTCTCACTAAGGGGTAATTCTTTGGATTGGTTGGAACGTTTGCCTAATCATTTTACCCATACTTGGGATGAATTGGCGGTGAAGTTTATTTCAAAGTTTTTCTCTCCTGGGCATATGGCTACTCTTCGGTATGAAATACTTGTTTTCAAGCAAGAACCCAATGAACCTTTGTATGAAATTTGGGAGCGATATCGAACAATGGTGAAGGAGTGCCCGAACAATAATATTACTGACAACATGATCCAACAAACTTTCACTGCGGTATTAATACTATGAATCAATGTATGGTTAATCAATTGGCCAGAGGAAATTTTATGACAACACCTTATGCGGAGGTATGTGAGATTATTGATGAGATGGCGGAAACTTCTTCGGCTTGGCAATCCCGAGCTAATGTTCCCCAAGATGATCCGAGCATGATCCATCTACATAAAGAGTTGCAAGACCATGGGCAAGCTATTGGCGAATTGACCACAATCATGACTCAACTTGCTAAGGCCCAACTTCATCAAACACGAGCTCCTAAGCAGGTTCATGCTACGGAGGGAGTAAATGTTTTGGCCAAGAGGAGGAGAAAGGTCCACAATTTCAATCCTGAGTGGAGAATTATACATAAGATGATCGTAGCTTTGACTAAGATTATTCTTATCAAGATCAAGAAGAAGAGGTACAATTTGTGAAAAATTACTAAGGGAAACATAGCAATTCTCAATGCTCCAATTAAAATCAATGGCGTTCTCAAAATAACCAAGGAAATTGGGGTTCTAACAATCAAGGGAGTTGGCATGACAACAACAACAACCAAGGGAATTGGGGAGGCAACAAACATGGAAATCGAGGATCGGGTTTTCAAAGACCCCCAATGTACCAACAACCAATCAACCCACCTCCTTATCCTTCCCATGGTTCGAGTTATTCAAACAATGATATGGGCCGTATTGAGAACATGTTCAAGCAAACGATGGAGAAAAATACGGATTCGAATGCCCAACTTGCCTCACATACCACATCAATCCGTAAACTTGAAATTCATATAAGGTAAATCTCTCAAGCTCTTAATACTCATCCTAAGGGTGCATTTTCAAGTGACATGGTAGTAAACCCAAAGGGTGATAAAAACACGAGACATGCCATGGCAGTTATCACAATAAGTGGAAGAGGCGGGAATGCACCCACCTCAAATAAAAAGTAACTTGTGGATGATGACCAAGTGATCCAAGAGGAAAAAATCCCAAGCAATAATGTTCAAGTACGAGATGAAGTTTGGATTGATATTCATGATAGTGTTGAGGATACCCAAGAAGATACGAACCCGTCTAAGGAACACATTATTGACATACTGGAACCGGTAGTGCAAAAGAATAAGGCACCCATGCCAAAGACTCCACCTCCTTATCCTCAATGACTTGCCAAGAAAAATGGTAAAAATCAATTCAAGAAATTTATTCAAATGATGAAAGGTCTCTCCATCAATGTGTCATTGGTAGAAGCTTTGGAACAAATGTCCGGTTATGCCAAGTTTATGAAAGATCTTGTGACCAAGAAGAGATCGATAAATTTTGAAACTATCAAGGTCATTGATCAAGTGAGTGGAATTGTTCATTCTATGGATCTTAAGTCAGAGGATCCCGGCGCTTTCACAATTCCTTGCACTATTGAGAGTGTTGATTTTGCTAAAGCTCATTGTGATCTTGGTACGAGTATCAATTTGATGCCCTACTCGGTGTTTAAAACTTTGGGGATTGGGAAACCAAGACCCATATCTATGAAGTTGCAAATGGCTGATCGTACCATGAAGAGGACATTGGGAGTGATTGAGGATGTGTTAGTCCGAGTTGATAAGTTTATTCTTCCGGTGGACTTTATTATTCTAGATTGTGAGGTTAATTATGAAGTGCTTATTATTCTTGGGAGGACTTTCCTTTCCACGGGTAAGACCCTTTGTGATATAAAATCCGAAGCACTCACTTTTTGGGTTGGTGATGAACAAGTGGTATTCCATGTGTGCAAGTCTATGCGTCGGCCAAGTAGCAATGAAGTTTATTCTTTTTTGGACTTGGTGACCGATGTTATTATTGATGACACAAGTGGTACAATCAATGTTGGTGATATGTTGGAAGTCGTTTTGCTCAACTTGGATGATGATGAGATGGATAGTTTCATGGAATGTGTGAACTCTTTGCAAGGAATGGGGTCATACAACTATGCACCCCGGAATTTATCTTTGGATATTGGGAATAAGAAGACTCCTCCTACAAAGCCTTATATTGAAGATCCACCAACTTTGGAGCTAAAACTATTTCCACCTCACATTCGGTATGAATTTCTTGGCCCTTGTCTACTTTACCGGTTATTCTTTCCTCTTGTTTGACTAATGTGCAGGTTGATTCCACATTGGCGGTCTAGCAAAAGAGGAAGAAAGCTATTAGGTAGACTTTGGCAGACATTCAGGGTATAAGCCTCGCATTTTGCATGCATAAGATCACGTTGGAGGATGGTGTCAAACCGTCCATTGAACTCAAAGAAGACTTAATGAAGCTATGCAAGAGATGGTCAAAAAAATTATTATCAAGTGGTTGGATGTTGGGCTTGTCTACCCCCATTTTCGATAGTTCATGGACTTCTCTGGTTCAATGTGTCCCAAAGAATGGGGTATGACGGTTGTACCAATAATAATAATGAGTTGATTCCTACAAGAACAGTCACCGGTTTGAGAGTTTGTATGGATTATCGCAAGCTCAACAAAGTCACAAGGAAGGATCACTTTCCTCTTCCTTTCATGGATCAAATGCTTGATAGGTTGGACGACCATGCTTTCTATTGTTATCTTTATGGTTACTCAGGCTTCAACCAAATTCTTATTGCTCCGGAAGATCAAGAGAAAACCACTTTTACATATCCATATGGTACCTTTGATTTCAAACTGATGCTTTTTGGTTTGTGCAATGCATCAGAGACTTTTCGTGTATGATGGCTATCTTCACGGACATGGTGGAATACTACCTTAAGGTCTTCATGGATGAATTTTTGGTGGTTGGAGATTCTTTTGATTATTATCTTGAAAATTTGGACAAAGTGTTGGCTAGATGTGAGGAGACAAATTTGGTACTCAATTGGGAGAAATGTCCTTGGCCATAAAATTTTAAAGTATGCTATTTAAGTGGACAAGTCAAAGATTAAAGTAATTTCTACGATTCCACCCCCTACCTCGGTGAAGGATGTGCTTTGGGCCATAAGGGTTTCTACCGGCGATTCATCAAAGCTTTCTCTTAAGTGGTGAACCCATTGTGCAAGCTCCTTGAGAAGGATACTAAGTTTCATTTCAATAATGATTTTATGAGAGCTTTTGAACTATTGAAGCTCAATTTGATAACTACTCCTATCATTACCTCCCCAAATTGAAGTTTGACGTTCGAGCTCATGTGTGATGCAAGTGATGTAGTAGTTGAGATTGTTTTGGGGTAACGTGTCAACAAGGTTCTTCACCCAGTTTACTATGCTAGTAAGAGCATGAATAGTTCCCAAGTCAATTATACTATTACGGAGAAAGAGCTCCTTGCTATTTTGTTTGCTATTGAGAAGTTTCGCTTGTATTTGATGGGTGCCAAAGTTATTTTCCACATGGATCATGCAGCACTTTGCTATCTCATGAGCAGGAAAGAATTTAAAACTTGGTTCATGAGATTGGTGCTTTTGTTGCAAGAATTTGATATTGACATCCAAGACAAGAAGGGTAGTGAAAATCAAGTGGCGGACCACTTGTCTCATTTGGAGGAGGAGGAGGAGAGTCCACATGATGGCCTTGAAATTAATGACTCTTTCCCCGATGAGCAACTTTTGGCACTTTCCAATGAAAGAGGCACCATGGTTCACGGATTTGGAAAATTTTCTTGTGAGTGGTATCATTCCGGATGATTTCTGTTCAAACCAAAAGAAGAAGCTCAAGAGGGATTGTCAAGACTACTATTGGGATGAACCATACCTTTTTTGAATTTGCACGGATAAACTGATTCGAAGGTGTATACCAGGAATAACAACAAGGTGATATTCTCGGGGCTTGTCATTCTTCGCCATATGGTGGTCATCATGTCAATAAAATATGAGATGCCTTTTACAACCATCTCGGAGATTGATATTTTTTTATGTTTGGGGCATTGATTTTATGGGCCCTTTTGTGATTTCTTGTGAAAACACCTAAATTTTGGTCGCGGTGGATTACGTGTCTAAATGAGTTGAGGTCGTTTTCTTACCCAACAATGAGGCTAGAAGTGTGGTGGTGTTCTTGAAGAGAATATTTTTACAAGGTCTGATACTCCGCAAGCAATCATAAATGATAGGGGGTCACTTTTGCAACAAGGCTTTCGACACTTTACTTAGAAAGTATGGTGTTACTCACAAGGTGAGAACTTCCTATCACCCTCAAGCTAGTGGTCAAGTGAAAGTCTCCAACCGGGTGATAAATAGTATTTTATCCAAAATGGTGAATGCAAATCGGACGAATTGGTCCAAGAGTCTTGATGATGCTCTATGGGAATATAGGACAGCTTACAAAACACCTAGCGGAATGTCCCCTTACCGTTTGGTATTCGGGAAAGATTGTCATTTTCCAATGGAACTAGAGTACAAGGCAATGTGGGCCTTGAAGAAATTGAATCTTGATTGGAATGTAGCCGCTAACTTTAGGGTTACACACTTGAATGAATTGGATGAGTTCCGGTACCATGCATATGAGAGTTCGTTTGTACAAAGAAAAGATGAAATATCTTCATGACAAGTATATTTGGAACAAGGAGTTCAAGCCGATGATCTAGTGTTGTTGTTCAATTCAAGGTTGAGGATGTTTTCCGGGAAGCTCAAGTCAAAGTGGAGTAGTCTATTTCAAATTGTTGGTGTGACACCTTTCGGTGCTTTGTACTTAAATAACAAAAACAATAAAATATGATAAGTCAATGGTCACCGGGTGAAGAACTACTTGAGAAAATTTGGAGAAAGCCACGTGGTGGCGGTTATTTACTTCACTTGAGGATGCTATGGCAGTGCGTCGTGCCACGACGTTAAATAAGGCGCTCCTTGGGAAGCAACCCAAGTACTTTTCCTTTTTCTCTTTTAGTTAGATATTATTTGTTATTTTTAACTTGATTTGAAGTGTGCTACAGGGATAAGTGTTAGATGTGAAATGGTGGATAAGGTTGTGTCAACAAGGCTAGAAATGCGGACCACACTTTTTCTTTGTGCGGCCGCAGATAAGAAATGCGAACCGCAAAAGCTCCTGTGCAACCGAAGATTTCCTCTGTAGACCACACTTGCAGGAGTCAATCTTAGTGCTAAATGAAAGGTCATCTGAACTTTTTTCCAATCAATGTAGAGTAGTAGTGCAGACTTTCACAAATTTTGCGGTCGCAAAAGCACAACATCAGAGAGGCGGTTGTACTACATTGCTATAGGGGAAAGATAGTATTTCACATGAAGATATTATTAATGCATTAAAACCTAAAGAGTTAAAAATGAGCTTTCTAGACTGCAGATCTGAGGACGAGGGTATTGTGAGTAAAGGAAGACCACAATAGAAAGACTTTAATAGAAAAGATTTTACCGCCAGATTGAAGTCTAGAGCAAGAAAGTATAACTTCCATTGAGTGCGGAAATAAGGTCACTATAAGAGACACTTTCCTAAGTTAAAAAAGAAAAGGTGTAAATATAAAGTAGATAATTCTACGAATACAAATGACTCTGGCAACACTTTTGATGATAGTGACTATGTAGGGGAAGTCTGCGTCGTGAGTTTTAGTCATGGCAGAATTCCATGATTCTTGATTCTGATGCAACTTTCCTGATGTATCCACACCAAAATTGATTTGCAACTTCAAGTAGGCGAATGGGACTATCTACGTGGGAGATCATAATCCATTATCGGTAAAATAGATTGGTAACATCAAATTGAGAATGTTGGATAGAATTATCAGAAATATTGAGTGCCGGTATGTTCCTCGGATGAAAAGAAATTTAATTTCTTTTTCGACTTTGGATGATCAAGGGTTTAAGTTCCACTCTGAGAATGGAACACTTTAAATGAATAAAGGCTCCATGGAACTCATAAAGGATAAAATGTATCTAGATTGTATTATCTTCAAGCCAGTATAGTTGAAGAGGAAGCTGGCGTAGTTTTGGGAAAGAATGATCTGGATCAATCTCAATTGTGGCATTTACGACTTGGTCATATAAGGGTCAAGGGATTACATTTGTTGAGCAAAGATAATTTGTTGGATGGGTACAAAAATCAAGCTTTAAAGTTTTATGATCAGTGTCTGGAGGTAAAAAATAAGGGTAAAATTCAGCAAGAACAAGACCATAAATAAGTTAGATCATATATATTTAGACTTTTCGGGTCCACATAAAGATCCCTCCAAAAGTGATACCAGGTATTTTATGACTTTGATTGATGGTTACTAGTTTGAGCATATTTTCTAAAAACAAAAGATGAGGAATTTTCTATATTTGTTAAATCGAGGATGATGGCAGAAAGAAAAAAATTAAGCATCTTCAGACTGACAATGGATTGAAATTTTGCAATTCAGAGTTTAATGATTTCTGTAGCAGGGAGGACATAGTTACACATTGCACTTGTGTTGGAATACCACAACAGAAAGATGTTTCATAACGTACGAACAGACTACTTTGTGATAGGGCATGAAGCATGCTTCCACACTCCTATGTTAGTAAGGATTTTTGGGCTAAAGAAATCAATACATATAGTTACTTGGTCCACAGATCTCCATCTATAGCTATTAAGTTCAAAATTCCTTTTCAGGTATGGTTTAGTTCATCTACTGATTATTCAAATTAAAGAATACTTGATTGTCCTGCTTATGATCATGTGAGGGATGGCAAATTTGAGCCTAGAGCAAAGAAATATATATTTTTAGGGTATGCAACTAGAGCGAAAAGTTACAAGTTATTGTGCACAGATCAGAAGACTTCAGGATTAATTATCAACAAGGACGTGAATCGATGAATCTGCCTTACTGGACAGTCAGAGGGAGAAGGCAACAGCAGAAATAGATCATGGTATCAATTACCGCATAAAACTAAAAATTAAATTTTCACTCGTTTAACCTATTGGTTCTGAAGTAGAGAAAGTGGAGGAGGTGCAACATATTAATCAAGATAATAATGTTGATGCGCATGTGCAACAACAATCGTATAGCATGCAATAGGTAGAAAGAAGGGAGTGATTAATCAATCATAAAAGTTTGCATACATAGTTGATGGTAATCTTTTTGGATATGTAAAGCCTATGGGATTTACTTTATTTCAATTGTAGAAGCAAATCAATGGATTGGTCCTATATCTGAAAAGATTGAGTTTCTTAACAAAGCTTAAACTCGGTTGATATATGCGGCAATAGATAGAGCCCTTGCGAGGGTTAAGGGCAAGGTAGCGAGACGTTCTTGTTGATGAAGAGAATTCAAGCTAAGGAAAAATTTTGTTAATTGTGCCGTTACTTTTATGAATGCCAATTATATTAGGCTTTCTAGTATTTTTCGGAAACTCATAATCCATATAGGTTTAGGAACTCATTGTTTTAATAGATTTGGGGGAAAAAAATATATTACCCTTGTAGATTGAGAAAACGTTTCTCTTATAGGTTTAGGACTACTTGATCTATATATAGGGGTTGTAGTTAGGGATTTTATAGATTATATGTATATTTCTTCTCGTTCATAATGGAAAACTTTGCTTCGCCTCGAGAACTAGGCTTAGATGAACGTCGTTATATCCTTGTATTATTTTTCTTATCTATTTGTATTTGTGTGGGATTATGTACTAGTTAACCCATGATCTTCCACAACAGAAATACTTCGTCTCATCCCTTTTACTTGTCATTTTTTATTAAAATGATAATTGGATTAAATTTGTTATTACTTATTCTTTAATCTCAATTTCTTACTACTTTTACTTTCACTATATTAA